TAGCCAGCAGCCAGCGTGAGCAGCCTGCAGCCGCAGTGAGCGGCCATCCAGAAGCCGTCGACTGATGTGCCTCACCCAGGAAGAGCGCAATGATGGTGCCAACTTGGGCCAGTGAAGCAAAGTCCTCCACAACTAGACTGAAGAACAAAAGGACAGCAACTTGTCTGTTCCCCGTCCCCTAATTCCCCAGTGCTGTTCCCAACCCCCAATTCCCTAATAAAAATATTTATAAAAAAAACCAAAAAAAAAACCCAAGCAAAATATTAGTTAAGATTGTATGTGGTCACAATCCGTTCCTTGGAGCCAAGGCAGAAGGAGAAAATGAAAAGTAGAGAATGAGAGGAGATAAGTGTGGGGCCCCGAGTTTTTACTGATTGCTATTCTTTCTGAAAACTTTCCAATTTGATTCTGAAACACAGTGTTTTCATAGTTCTTTTCTTTCCTAGAATAATTCATAACCTGATGGAACTGAAGGGAAATTAGAGCTCATTTAGCACATTAAAAGAGAGATGAGAAAATGGAGGACCATAAAAAGAAGAGATTTCCTTTTTCTTCCATTTCCTTCCTCCAGCTATTCTCTTTTTCCCACCATTTAATGTATTGGGTGCTTTTGAATAATCTGCCCCCTTTCTCCTCTAGACTCATAATTTCAGCCTCCAATTGTACATGGATTCACTCTTAAATTTTCATCGTAAGTGAATTCTTTCCCCTCTGTAATATTACACTTCCAATTATCTATGAAATGTACGCTTATAAGTTTCACCAATACCTAAAACTCAGCATGGTTAAAATTGAAATCATTTTCCTAATTCCCTTCCAGCTTCGTCATCACTACTATTAGCATTATCATTTTTTAAGGTTCCTTGTCTTAAACTTTGATTTTAATTTCAAAATATTTCAATCATGCAAAAAGTGTAAAGAACAGAATAACAAATATGCTCCTATGCTCCAGATTTACTATTCCGCCATGTTTGCTTCACACTCTAAAACGCTTGTACGGATACAGTTGGAAGTTCCCTAGCCCATTCAACTTGCTCCCTCCTGAGAGGTAGCTGCTCCTCAGAAGTTAGCTCTTCCCAGGCTGATGAGCGTACAGAACTGATTGGGGAGGTGCGGGGGTACTGGTAAGGGAGTGAAGAGGAGGTTCAGGGAAGTGACGGCAGCCAGCAGGGCCCATCAGTAAGCTAGCTACCACTATGGGCAACTGCAGCTTACTCCTGCAGGGAAGTTCTAGGAAATGGTATAAAACACACCTCAGAATTATCTTGGCTAATGAGGATCCCCCCACACCCATTAGTCATTAAGTGCTGGGGTGGGTAGGCATTTCCAGCCCTCTGTGTGAGAGGGCAAAATGGATTGGTTCTGGCAGCCTGAGCATAGCCCTTTGGACAAAGGTGTTGGCTGTTGGAAGTTAGGCTGGTATGCACACAAATAAAGGAATATAGGGGGACGTAGGGAGAGTGCTCATAGTATCTGCAACAGTGTGTATCCATCCGACTGACATTGTTTTTTAACCTTTACTACAATTGTTAGACATTATTAATTTGTATGATATTATGTAATATTATTGATAACATTAACAATAATATCTATGTGATGAAGGGGAACAGTGAATATAAATATATACCAGTCAACATAAAAAAGGAAAGTAGTTTGGGAAAGTCAGTTCAAAGAGTTGTTTAGCTATTTATTAAATTTATATCCTGTGCCTGATTGATCTCCCATTAACAGAAAGTAAGGAAAAGAAAGAAAATGCATACCACAATTTATTTTTGTTTGGTTCCACACTTCATTAGACTTCGACAAAATTAGATTTTTTTTCCTTATCTTCCTCCACCTCCTACTTTAAGACTGCAAGGTTATTAGGCTTAAACTGTAATTGATATATAAGATTACAAGTCTTTGCTAAAAAAACTATATACTATCAAGAATGTCTTGAAATAGCATTTTCTTCTTAGCTGCGACCCATTAGCCTCTACTGAAAGGGAAAAAGGTGTGTGTGTGTGTGTGTGTGTGTGTGTGTGTGTGTGTGTGTGTTGAGGGGAATGTATAATGAGACAGATCTCAACTCCATAACCAGGGCAATAAGCCTGCAGTGACGTTCTAAACCATTTAGCAAAGCCAGGGACAATCTGCCTTCTTTGTACCTCAAGACCAACAGGACTCCTGATTTAACAAAGTAAAACTACAAAACAACATGCTTCCTATTTCCTTTTATGGAGACCAGAAGGATTTAAAACAATCTTGAATACTAGTCCTCACAGATTCCATTATTGGAGAAGCACAGACCTCCCTCTTTAAGAACTAGCAGACAGAGAAAAATAACCTCACGCATACAAAGATCTAGCAGTCCAGTAGGATCTTCATGAAGAATCAGAATAGTCACTTGTAAAGCAGACCCCATAAAGCAGGAAAAAAAAAAATCTCACAATGACATTCAAGAAGACACCGAGATACTTTCTTATTTCAAATAAGGAATGATTACAGAATTTGAAAACCCCATGGCGACAATGAACAATTGAGTAGGTTTGTATCAGAGGTAAAAATATATTGGTGAAAAGAACTTCTGGAAACAGCATAAATTTTACATTTAAAAGAGAGGTAATGTTTTCATAAAGTAACTATCTACTGTTTCTCTACTTGATTCCATTTCCATAAACAAGCCTTATGAAAATAAATAAGAAAATATATTACGAGTCACAACACTGAAGCAGTAAGTTGGATGAGGAATAAGGATGAGGAATAAAGATCACATAGAATGCAAAGTCTTTACCCTTAAAAAAAAAAAAAGCCTTGTTAATCTACTGGAAACTTTGGATGCTCCTTATAGAAAATTGTACTTGTATAAAACATAAGATTGGCATAACATTTCAGAAATTCATGGGCTTCCTAAAGCCTCAAAGGTTTAGTCCATTAGTGGTCCATGAACACCAGGCGAATAATCCTTTTTCAGAGAGAAAGAAGTAGAGAATACTTACATTGTATAGAGGGATGGTCTTCATGACCTTGTACTGCTTAGTGGGATCCATTTTATACAGGTGACGGTCAGTGACAAAAATTGCTCGGTCTTCCACCTTACTAAATCGATTGACCTGTAAGAAAACAAGCCGATAAACTAGATCATCTCATAAAGAATGGAATCAAATTATCTACCAGCAAAACATCTAGGGGCAGAGGTAGCTGGTTGTCGAGACACATTCTTTAATATATATATGGCCACTCCATGGATGCAAGGGAGATTTAAAAGGAGTAGCTGTTTCCAGATTTGTGGAATCTTACAATTTAAATTTCACAATTTTGCAATTTAACAGGGAAAACAAAAAAACCACAAAAGAATAAAGGACTGAAAACATGTAACCCCAACACAAAACAAAATGAAAAGATGACCCATAAATAGGTCAACATTTTTGCAACTTATATATCTGATAAGCAACTTGTATCTAGAATATATAACTCAATAAGAAAAAGACAAAAAAAAACAAAACCCAATTAAAAAATGGGAAAAGGGCCGGCCGAGTGGCCCAGTTGGTTAAGAGTTGGCTTAAGAGCGCAAGCTCTGAGCAATAGGGCTGCTGGTTCCATTCCCACATGGGCCAGTGATGCTGCGCCCGAGCTGAGCTGTCGCTGAGCTGCCAACAGTTGGCAGGATGGCTCAGCTGGTGCAACAACAAGATTGCCTGTTTGATGCCCACCCGCAACTAAGACTGAACTTGGCACCTTGAGCTGAGCTGCCACCCAGATGGCTCAGTGGATAGAGCGTGTGCTCTCAAAACAAGGCTGCTGGTTTGACTCCCGCATGGGATGGTGGCTACGCCCACCCGCAACTAAGATTGAACACAGCACCTTGAGCTTAGAGGCCACGAGCTGCCGACGGGAAGCCAGATGGCTACTGGCGCCGTCCACAACTAAGACTGAAGAGCAACAACTTGGCTGGACCCCTTCCCCAATTTCCCAACACAGTTCCCTTCCCCCAATTCCCCAATAAAATCTTAAAAAAAAAAAAAAGGTAAAGAATTTAAACAGACATTTCTGCAGAGAAGATATACACACGGCCAATAAACACATGAAAAGATGTTTGACACCATTAGCCACCAGGGAAATGTAAATCAGAACCACAATAAGATGCCATTTCATACCCATTAGGATGACAATAATAAAAAAGACAGATAATAACAAATGCTGGCCAGGATGTGGAGAAATTAGAGCCCTCATCACTACTGGTGGGAATATAAAATGATGCATGCAGTCACTTTGGAAAACAGTTTGGCAGTTCTTCAACCAGATAAACATAGAGTTACCATATGATCCAGAAATTTCACTCCTAGGTATATATAGCCATGGGAATTAAAAACATAATCACACAGAAACTTGTGCCTGAATGTTCACAGCAGCATTAATCATAATAGCCAAAAAGTAGAAATAATCCAAATGTCCATCAACTAATGAAGGATAAATAAAATGGGACATACCCATACAGTGGAATATAATTTGGCACTAAAAAGAATGAAATATTGATGCATGCTATAACATGGATGAACCTTGAAAACTTAAATTAAAAGAAGCCAGTCACAAAGGACCACACATTATATGATTGCATTTATATGAAATGTCTAGAATAAGCAAATCTATAGAAACAGTAGGTAGAATACTGGTTATGTAGGGCTGGAGAGATGACAGGCTTTGGGGAATGACAGCTAATGGGTGCAGTTTTCTTTTTGGATAATGAAAATGTTCAAAAATTGATTGTGGTGACGGATATACAACTCTGTGAATACACTAAAGGATATTGAATTGTATACTTTAAAGTGGTAAATTGTATGGGATGTGAATTATATTTCAATAAAGCTGTATAAAAATGTAGCTCCTATTTGAAACACCTCATTTTGCCCCTTTCCCAATGCACCGGGAGGTGTATTTCAGATTAAATTCCCTAGAGTGACAGTGTTTCATTACATTTACATGTTCAAAAATGGACAGTGTCTTCAACTTGCCAATGGCACAAATAATTGTCTCATAATTGTTACTACCCATAAGAGGAATGGGCCCGATGAGAAGGCAGTCAGTGCCCCACATAGAAAGAATGCAAGCAGAGCTAAGTGGATATCTGCTGTGGGTGTGCTTGGAATAGGAGGTACAGGGATCGCCAGGGTCCCTTTCCACTCAGATTCTATGATTCCTTTACCTGATGCTCAGGTTTTCCTATCTGCCACTGTTCTACTTGTTTAGCTTTATTTCAAGGGCTCTGCTTTTGTTTGACAGGTTTTTCTCATGTTCTCTCTTACGTGTTTATGATTTTCTACTCCCTCCTTTTCCTCCTTATCTACGTATATTTCAAGATATTGCTCGTTATAGAATTATAACACCTCTTTAATTCCTATAGTAAAAAAATGATCACTCTTTTCTCTGAACTTCTATTTCGCAGTTGTCGAATCAGTATATAGAATATATGTAGAATTAAGAATGAAACAAGAAAAATTAACATCGAAACCAAAGGGTACAAAGCTTTTCTTTTAAAGCAGGATATTTGAGAATATGAAGGGCACTGGCTTAAGTGCTTTTGTTAATGTAAAACACTGGATACATCTTTACTCTTTGTCTGAAAAGAAAGATAGGAAAGAAGGTTGGCTGATGCTTACAAACACCAAGGCAATCAAGTTACATCTATCGTTGGTCTGTATCTTCTTATTATGAAGTTGAACTACTCTCTATATCTACCTACTAAAAGGGCAAGTATTTCATTTAACAATTGGAAAGCTTTAATAATTTCAAGGACAGCTGACTTGTAATTTTTAGACCATGGATGTTATTTAAAAAATACACGTGTTAAAATAATTGTGTAGAACACTGTGTTTTAAAAGTTACAGTCAAAGCTCTGTTTGGCAAAAGAGGTTGGTTTTACTTACTAATTTTGTGATAATTAATCTAATGTCTATAACCTCACTAATCAAAGTCTAATTAACTGAGCTAATATAAAAGGTTATACAGATTGTCTTAAAATTGAAAGTATACAAAAAAAGCTGGTTTTCTTATAAAACCACACTACAAATAAGTTATCAAGATAGTTATAAATAATACAACAAATTCATTTCAAAACAAAGTAAAAACCTAACCTACAACTGTATGATTTCTTTTCTAATGGCCAAGAAATAGCAAAACTAATCTATCGCAAAAAGAAAATCAGAATAATAGTTGTCTCTGGTGGTGGTGGGACTTGGCTGGGAAGGGGCGTGAGTGAGCTTTTGAGGGTGATGGCAATATTCTGTATCTTGACAGGGTTGTAATTTACACGTGTGTATGTACTAATCAACTATATACTTCAGATTGTGTACTTACCTGTATATAAATTATACCTCACTAAAATGCACAGACCAAACAAAAACAATGTAGAATTTCAAATATCCATTACAGATTTTTACTGCCTTATTATTTCATGAACAGTAATTCTGTCTTCCAGGCTGACTGGAAGCTCCTTGAGGGTCGTAATCGTATGGTATCTTTTGTCTTGTACCTCACAGCGCCCAGTACAGAAGTGGGCAACCTAGAGCATTTCTTACATCCTTGCTAATCAGCTGGGTTTGAGAGCACTGTTAGTCCCACAGAATAATTTCAAGAACTCTTCTTCCCCACATGAGCCAATCAGTGTTGATGATAGGAACTGTCAGACTGGAAAATAGATGGGGTTGGCCGCAGCACACTGGGGAGGTTGCATTATGTATGGAAGAAAAAAAAATCCCCAAGTGGCAAATACAAGCACAATGGCTAAGTAGCTTACGTCCGCATTGTCCAGTTTGGTCCTGGAAAAACTGTATTTCTACATCGAAGAAAAAGGAGCTGTGGACTTCTTGCTTTTTTATTTCTGAGGCTGCAAGCCCCTTTATGAGAGTAAGCTATCTCTTTAATAAAAAAGCTCTCTAGCATAGCATGCACTCTATAAGCACATGGATTGCTGATTTGGAATTATTGGTTGGAACTGTTGAGACTTATTTGCACATTTTCTTTTTTCATACAATGTCTTTCCCATGAGTTGATTTAATTTTTCCCTTCAGAGTGTAAGTTTCACGACCAGCCATCATTATAAGACTAGACACACACAGCGCCGACAGGCCAGGTGAACTGTCCTGAGCGAAACGTACCTGGAGAAACATATCTGTGCCTGTATTTGCAACACTGTATTACTGGTAGCAGCTACCTTTATAAAAGCTTTAATCTCTCAATTTCATTGAGAAAAATGTCTTTCTATAATCAGAAACCTAAAATGGGATTGATTTTTTTATACATTTCTGAATCCAGCACATGACTCTGATTAATGAAAAAGAATTATACTGGTTAACATTTACTCAAATTAAGTAATTTGAGAAATGTTTTTCCCCCCAAAATTTACAATGTCGATTTTCAAGCACTTTATAAGCTGCTGATGATATACATAGGAATGATGTGAAACCCTTGGTTATAATAAGAATGTGAGACTAGCAGATGGTGTTGAGATAGATTAGAAACTTGTAAGTGAAAATAATTTCATACAATGTATAAAGAAAATAAAACTAGGTAATGGGATTGAGAGAAAATGTATATGTGTGTGATTTTGTAGAATGCTACTAGTTTACTAGAGAAAATGCCCACATTTGCAGGTAAGTCTTTTTCTAACAGACAGAATTAACAACGGGATGTTTTATAAATATGTAGTTAACTGCTTGCTGATTAGCATGTTTTAATTTTAGATTTGGGTAATCTGTAAGTCAAAGTCCTGAGCACTACAAATTTCTGAATTTCAATGACATGTTTCTCAATGACTAAAATAAAGAGGAACGCAAAACAAAACAACAAAAAATACTGAAAACCCTCCACTAAGTAGACCAGAAGGCACAACTGTGATATATAAATCCCCTCATTCTTACTTCCAAGATCTTATTTTCAAGATGCAAACAAAGAAGTTAGAGATTAATTTGAAAACATCATTAGCATTGGTAGGATATACAGCTGAATAAATCAGGATAGGTAGGATGGGGCATAGTACAATATATTGCAATATGCAGGATACAGCAAACTAAAAGTCAAGTTTTAGTTTGAATTTTAGCCAGTCTGCTCCCTTTTGCCTCATAGTTTTAGAAATCAGTCAGTTCTCTAAGTGTTGCCTTATAACCAAAGTATATTTTTCAGTCTTCAACTTGACAAAAATGGTATCTGTAATTAAGAGTAAAATAGAGTCTATGTGGTGAAATAATGATGACTCTGGGTAGTAATTATTTGCTTTGCATGGCAGCAGTTTTTGCCATACAAGTGAATAGGCACTTGTCAGGAGACTTGAAACAAGTGATTGTAGGGCTTCCACGTCAGCATTTTCTAAGTTGTTTTGCACCACACTTTCTGCAAGAAAGGGGTCCAAGTCAAGTTGGTTTGAGGGACAATGGAAACCACAGCCTCCCCTGGGATATTCATCACCCACGAATATATTAAAGGCTCTGAGAATTGGGCACTTAAAGAGCATGTTTAACTGTTTAACGCAGCATCTCCCCAATACACGCAATTATGGAACCCGTTCTGGAAACAAATTAATATTCAACAGAACATTGGTTTGGGAAACCCATGTAGGAGAACACTAACCATCATTTGTATCCATCTTGGCCTGGAGAACAGAGAACATCTAAGATGAAATCTGAATACTAAGTAAATAGTGTTCTTCATCTTTTGTGAATTCATATTGAGAAATATGAGTGTGTTGCAAAAGAATATGAAAAAAAATTTTTTTGCATAATTTCACAAGGTCATGCAATACTCAAAAACAATAGGCCTCAATGGTATTGTCCTTTTTAATTCTATGTCCATGAGTTAATCTGGAAACAAACAAATAAAAGCCTCAAAGCAGTAATTTTATTGAAACTCTGTTTAGAAATATGTCATTCTTTTTTTCTGCAAAAATGTAATTTCTAAAGAGAGCTAGGTCATAAATTTTTTTTTTCAGGGAAAAAAATCGTTTGTTTTAATTTTTAAAAAAAAATTTTTTTATTGTTAGTTTCAGGTGTACAGAACAATGCAATAGTTATCCTTTTCACCCTCACAAAGTAACAACCCCCCTCCCCTCATGAATTGCCCTCCCACCCCTGATATCATGCTTATCTATTACAATTCCATTGATTCCATTCCCACTCTCTACTCCATGTCCCGAGACTATATGTTTATATAATTATAGTTGACATACAATATTATTCAACATCAGCTTCATAAATACAGTGCGGTGGTCAGGCTTCTACACTGACTATGAAGTGGTCTCCCCAACAGGACATGAGTCCATCTGGCCCCCTAAGAAATATTTACAACATTATTGATTATATTCCCCAGACTGTCTTTTTCTATCCCTGAGGCCATATTGTAATTACCAATTTGTATTGTCTCATCCCTTCCCCTTCTCCTTCATCCCCACCCCCTCCCAACTAACAACCCTCAGTTCTTCCTCTGTGTCTCTGAGACTATCTCCATCCACTTCTCCCATCCATTCAGTTAAGAGAGCTAGGTCATAAACCTTTACCTTCTGTTTTGGCAACTCAAATCATCCTTAAAACATGAATCAAGTGAGTAGGAAGGACATCAGGTAACAAAGTAAAAGCTTTACACTACATAACTTAGCTAAAGCAAAATGGAAAGAAACACTTTTTATATACATATGTAAATTTGTAAATTCAAACTTAATTAAAATAATTATGGCGTACGAACACTAATTTTCTTAAATTAAAAAGAAAGTAATTTTCTTCTTAAATTCATAAAGTAATAGAAAAACTGAACTATAGACTCAGTATTACATCAGACCTCATTTTATTTCCTTTATTACCCAAGCTAAAATCCTCAACGAAAGAAAAACATCACTATCCTTTTGCTTTGGCCTGAACACGTCTAGTGATTTGTGTATAGGTTTAGTCAGCACCACAGGGAGCCAGAGACCAAGTTTTCCCGGAGCGTCAGACTGGGAGAAAACACATTATGAACGAGAGCAGCTTTTTGCACAAGAGTCTCACCTCACGGAGATTTTATAACTGTAGTTAATAGAAAGTAGCTGCTTCATAAAGAATCAAAGCATAAAAAAGAGTGTTTTATTGAAATCGTGTCAAGTTTATCTTGGTACATCCTTGGGATTAAAAAGCTTCTAAAGAGGACATTATCTAATTTGCAGTGTGAAGAAATATTTTGCATTGAACTTAGAAATACAGGAGCATGACTAAGAAACTTTCAGTTTCTACCCAGCAGGACCCAGGGAGAGCCATGTTTTAGACATCAAATTGTCATCAATGGAAAGACAAAATCAGACACATCAGGCTTTTCCATAGTAGAATGTTCACTGTGAAAACCATCTGACTCTCTTTGCTTAGCTGTTCTGATCACTAATTTGACTTCCCAGGTGGCTTGATACTAGAAAGGAAGTATCCTACATATGAGGAATCAATGAAACGGTACATTCCTTTGTTAAAGTCATGAACTGGTATTAGGGCATATATTTTTTTGTGTGGGCCTGTGAATCTGGTTGGGAAAAGTCATTTCTTGATTGGCTGATCAACTCTAGGTACACTTCTAAAATAGAGTTTCTGGATCTAGGAGTTCAGAATTAGACTCTGGACTTTGGGAACCACTCCAAGATACTGCCAGCAGATTTCGTTCTAAGTTTAAAACTGGCTGCTCTCTATTTTGTTAAAAAGTTTATTTTACATTGAATTGATCTCTTCTCCCTTAGGATGTCTGAACAGTAAGTTACATTTTTTTGAACTACATGGATCAAGTTTAATCTCCTTTTTCTATTCTAGTATTTGGTCAGTCTGGCTAAAGGTTTGTCAGTTTTGTTGATGTTTAAACCAACTTTTGGTTTTGTCAATTTTTTCTATTATTTATTCTCTATTTGATTGATTTCTGCTCTAATCTTTCTTATTTCCTTCTGCTTGCTTTGGGTTTAGTTTGCTCTTCTTTTCCAGTGTCTTAAGGTAGAAGATTAGGTTATTAATATGAGATCTTTCATCTTTTTATTGTAGGCATTGAATTTCCCTCTAAGACAGCGGTTCTCAACCTGTGGGTCGTGACCCCTTTGGGGGTCAAACGACCCTTTCACAGGGGTCGCCTAAGACCATCGGAAAACAAAAAGATATTTACATTACGATTCATAACAGTAGCAAAATTACAGTTATAGAGTAGCAATGAAAATAATTTTATGGTTGGGGGTCACCACAACATGAGGAACTGTATTAAGGGGTCGCGGCATTAGGAAGGTTGAGAACCGCTGCTCTAAGATGTCTTTAGCTGCATCTCATAAATTTTGGTATGTTGTATCTTCATTTCCTAATGTTCTGCTTTTCCTGTGGTTTCTTCTTTGACCACTGGTTATTCAGGAGTGTGTCATTTAAATTCTACCTATTTGTGCATACCCTAAATTTCTTTCTGTTATTGATTTCTAATTTCACTCCATTTTTGTCAGAGAAAATACTTTGTATAATTTCAATCCTTTGAAATTTATTGTCTTATGACCATCAATAGTGTTTTCTTAAACCCTTGCAAACGCTGGTGGTAAATCAGCATTTTAAAGTTTGCCAAATTCATAGTTGAAAAACAATATTTCATTATTTTGGTCTGAATAATACTGCAAGTATGTACTTTTTGAAAATTTGAAACAAAATACTTCTAAAAATCACCTAAACCAGGACCTCTGCTATGAGGTAATGCTTTGATAGTTTCTTAATTCCTCCTTTGGATACTACATATTTATGTCAATATCTCTTCTGGAGTTACTCTAGGCAGTGCTTTTCTTTCTTTTTTTAATTTTATTATTAGTTTCAGTGTACAAAACAATGCAATAGTTATACTTTTCACCACTCACAAAGTGACAACCCCCCTCCCCAGGCAGTACTTTTCTTAAATGCACCCATTTCGTCATTTTTGCATAATTAAAAAAATGTTCTTTTATAATTATTTCGATTTCCTTTCTCTCTACTTTGCTAAACAAAAGGTTTTAGGTTTTAAGGAAAGCAACTATGTCCCTTGCCTTCCACCTTCCATCTTTCCCTCTTCCACTTGCCAACTGCTTTCACCTCCAGATAAATAATAGTCCACACACATCCTGCTTCAGATAAGCAAGTATCTTCACAGCACATAACCTTTTCCCCCCACCTTCCAAATCACACTATGTCCGCCTGTCTTTTTCAAATATGTTTTTCCTCCTCCTTCCCCTGTTTTTTTAAATAGTAATAAAAACATGCATAAAAAGTACTAAATGACCATTAAATACAAGGCAGACCAGTAGGTGCTATGAAAGATACATGTGCAGTAAAATACAAATCCTTGACCTCAGGGAGGTCCTCCCTCTACTGTTTTAAACAGAAATGCTTACCCAAAATATCCATGTCCCTTAACCCTCCATTGGGTGCAATTGATCTCACAGATTCACTGCACACACATTTTCAAATATCTAACAGTTAACTTAAGTATGGTGACTCATCGCTTCCGTATCTTCCCCCTCTACTGTAACCTATAGCCAGTCCTGTTTGTGACTTACTACATACAGTAAAGACGTATTTCATATTTGAAAATTTGTGTGCAATGAATCTGTGTGATCAGTTGTGCCCAACGAGGAGGGTTAAGAAGATTTCATAGCCTAACTCTAAAATTGTTGTCACCACCAATGCCTCACGGCAGACAGGTATAGCTCACTGATGACACAGCTAGTTATGTACCTCTTGTTATGTTGTACTGCGGTCATATCTAAGGAAGTTTCATATGAATCAGTCTTTTCTTTCCAAGGGGGTCTGTTTCAAGGTCACCTTACCTTACGGACATGACAGGAAAAGAGGATGTTCATGTACTTGTCCTTCCGTTTCAGCTCATTAGCAACAGGGACAAAAGTGCCTGAGGTCTGAGGTGTATCTGGCTTCTGAAAGAAAAAGGAAATGTGATAAGATGAGTATGCTTAGCATTTCAGACGAAAAGGTCATCTTTTAGTATACTGTTTTATTACGATGCTCATGTAGTTTCATACACATATTTTTTATCTTCCCATCCCAGCTGGTAAGCTACTAAATGGTTGGTTTAACACCGAAGGTCCTATAAAAATTTTAAGATAAGGAATGGGAGAGTGGATGAAATGTAGCTTTGGGAATCATTGCACTAAAGGTGGTAGTTAAAAATAGTTGCTGAATTATGCAAGGGAAAGTTTAAATGGCCAAAGCCAGGCTAGGGGGTGTACCTAATACATAAAGGTACAAGACAGAGAACTGTTTTTAAAGTGGGGTAAAAATCAAATATTGTACACTTAGAAGCAATAGGATCTTTTAGTTAAGTATCTCTCATAGAAATTTAGTTTCTGAAGGTGTCAGTCTTTCTATAAATTCTCGGAGAAAAATTCTTTGCTTTCTTTGTTACGGGAGCAGGAGGAATTCTACTTTGTTCTCCTGGACTTACCGAAGCAAGATAGTTGCCCTCCCAGGCCCTTTGGAGCCCAAGGTCAGCCCTTTGACCCTTCAACATTTCCATGGCCGCAACCTTTGCCCTGACCTGGGGCAGGTCTGAAGCGGGTATGCTCTTGATGAGCTGAGATGCTCTCCATCTATAAGTAAATAAACAAAATGTTCCGGACTTCAAAAACACAATACCACTCATTCTCAAAAAACAACTGAAGCTGCCATTAAGTAGAATTAAACCAAACTACTCGTATACTACCCTGAAATAAGTAAAATGATTCCAAAATATCCACAGAACTTATTTAAAGTACATGTAGTTTTATGTGGACGGGGACATGTGTAAAACTTGCTTTGTTTTACACATTTGTGTGTGTGTTTTGAAAGCAACTAGAACTTGGTGATACGTGGACTCTCATACTACTTAAGAGTCAGGGCCTAGCAACGTTGGATTCATCATTCATTCCACATGTTTCCTAGCCTCCCACCCAGACTCCAGATGCTGTTGTAGGCAGGGGAGGCACAGGGGTGAACCAACAGATGACGGCCCTTTCTGGGAGGGGCTTATACTCACATTCATAACTAAACAGGCAGTGAGTAAATATACAGTATGTGTGATGGCATAAATGCTGTGGGAGAAAGGAAGGCAAGGCCAGGAGGCCAGGAGCGCAGCAGAGGGAAGGGACAGGGAGCCGGTGTTATTTATAAAGGGTGGTGTGGGAGACGCCACTGATAAGGATACCTGAGCAGGGACCACAGCAAGCGAAGGAGACAGCTGTATGGCCATTTGAGCAGGAGTGTTCTAGGAAGGGAAGACAACAAGTGCAAAGGCTCTGACGTGTGAGCTTGCTTGGTGTGTCAGCGCAGTGGCAAGGAGTCCTGTGATGCTGGGGCAGGATGAGCATGGGGGGACAGTCGGGAGGGGCGGGCAGAGGGAGAGCTAGGACAACACCCACAGCGCCATGGGGGCCATGGCCAGGACTTGGGCCTTCACTCTGAAAGAGATGAGAAGCCACTGGAAAGTTCTGAACAAAGAAGGGACAGGACCTGCCTCCTGCTTTACAGGATCGTTCTAATTGCTGCATGAAGAGAGGCTGAAGGGGGCTGGGCTGGGCACAGGATGACCAGTGAGAAGGCTATTTCCGTAATGCACATGGTAGGGGAGGTTGGCTTGGGTCTGGGAGGTCGTGCTGGAGGCAGACACGGGTGTTGGTTCTGGACATGTCCTGAAGGAAGCACAAAATGGACTTGCTGATGGGTTAGGTGTGAAGGCAAGAGAGCTAGAGAACAAGAGAGGGTTTCAAGATGGCTCCAAGGTATTTTGGTCTAAGCAACTAAAAGCATAATCTGAAAATAACCTCTTCCTGATTGAGAAAAACAAGCACAAGTTCTTTTGCACTCTTAGCAGCATCTTAGTCCTACGTGATATTACCCCTCTTTTCTGCCACAGGCGCCTGAAGTAGGGAGGTTGGAAGCAAACTGAGAATTTTCTTATATCTGATGAAATAATCAAGGCCAGTGGTTCTCTAACTATGCTTCCATGGAACACAAGAATAAGATTCAACTAAAATAAAAAAAGTGGTGCTCTTTTCCCAATTTACATATAGAAAACTTTAGAGAGATTGGTTTCATCTAAGATTTTCCTGAGATGTATTCTTGTTTCAAGATGGTGGCTTGAGTCTAAATGTTTGTTTTTTTCTCTGTCTCAAATTCCCACTGAAGTAACCAAAAAAATATAAAAATAAGGAAAAATCTATACCACCACCGGAAAATGGGAGTGAGGTCAATAAACTGGAAGGTGTGAAGACTTTCTGGAAGCTACAAAACAGATGGGATTGAGCTGAGGTAGAAGCGGCTCACTGCTACGCAATCTGCTCAGCAGAAGGAGTGGAACCACTCTCCAAGGTGGCCCCAAGAATCCTTGAGCCTAAAGCAGCAGGGGCTGGCGGCAAGGGCAGAAGGACTTCAAGGTGGGAGCTGTGCCAGTTTCCTGCACATAGAATGGCAGCCATGGTGAGATGGGGACATCTGCCATGGTAAATAGGGTCAGAGATAACAGGTTGCCAAAACACAACCATGGGAAAAGTAAAGGCTCGACATAATGATGAAATTGTCTTCTCTACTTTCTACGGCCAAACAACACTTCAATGGGACCAATGATCCTAAGACCATTCCCAAAGAGACTGCAAGAGCGACAGGCTGAGAGCAGCTTGTGGTCAAAGTCAAGGACACTAGTGACTGGCAGGCCCTATAACATTACGTAGTTTGCAAAGCAACTGCCCCAATTAGCCCTCGAGCCCCAAATTTCATTCTTCATGGGGAGAGGTCCTTGCTCTGTCTGGTGGTCTGTTTTCAGCCTGTGTGTCTGGTCAGCCTGTCCCTTCCTCACTGCCCAATGGCCCAGGACAAGGTCCATACCTGAGCGACTTCAAAGGCATTCTGGGGAATCCGGGGCCTGACCTACACAACCATGGAGTGAGCCCCACAGGCTTCTCATCCTATCGAGCAAGCCGCCATCAATAAATGTGTGTAGCTAACAACCACAGCTGCGGCCATAAACATTACCAGCCTCAACAACGTGAAAAGGGGAGAAAAGCCAGGTACAAACAGGGCTCCTAGCTTTCCCAGAGAGAAAAAGACTGACTATGAGGGATAGAGGTGAGCGTAAACATGGTTAGACACACATGGAAATCTTAGGAAAAACCCCAAATCCCACAATCACAGAAGACTCCTTTAACACACTTCTCTCAGTATTCCACAGATCAAAACATTCAAGAATAAGTTAACTAGGATGTAGGGACTAGATCAGGGGCTGGTAAACTAAGGTCTGTGCCACATCTGACCCACAGCCTGGTTTTGGACTCTTCTTGAGTTCAGAATAGTTTTTACATGTTGAACGGAAACAAAACAAAGTAAAATATGTGACAAAGACCACACATAGCCCACAAAGCCTAAAACATTACTATGTGGCCCTTTACAGGAAAAACTTGCATTTGGACTAGATTAACACAACTGGCAAGATTCATTGAGAGTGGGGGAGGTGGGTGTGGGGGGAGAGAGAGTCTGTGTCTGTGTGTGTATGGGCAACCAACAGAGCAGACACATTATGTTTAAAGCGCTCATTGATTATATAAGCCCTAAGACGGCTGGGACTGTCTTTTGCATCTTCCTTGTTTGTCACCATATCCCTAGAACGTAGGACAGTGCCTGTGACACAGCAGATGTTGGGTAAATATTTGCTGAATGAATAAACTAAATTTATAAAAATCAATTCTAGGCCATGCATAAAACCTCAAAATCTAAAAAGAAGACTGCAGGCCACAGTGCAACGTAATCAAAATCAATTAATTCTTGGAGGCCATTAAAAATATTATGCAGATTCCTCAAGATTTATTTTTAAGTCAAGTCATTTAACCATACATATACTCCTGCTTATGTAAAAAATAGAGCAAAAAAACCCCCAAATGCTATGTGACTCTGTATGCATATACACTCATAGTATGAGCAAACATTTCCAAAGTGCTTATTATATGTCAGGTGCTATCTGAAATGCCTTATATATATGTACTCATAATCCTTTCAATAACCCTTTGAGCAGGTACTATTATTATGGTCCTTTTACAGATAAGGAAACTGAAACAGAGAGGTTAGCTAATTTGCCCAAAGTTACACAGCAGAATAAATATGGCCTGATCCAGGGGTTGTGGCAGGAAAAATAAATAGCTAGTTCCATTATTTTGAGAGGGAAACAGATGCCCTTTGAAAGCCAAATCTACAAAACTGGAGACATAAGGTAAAAGCAAATGTTATCACAGCAAATAGAAAATCATGGTCTCGGACTTGTGACTTTCTATTCTATATTACGTGTGCAGCCATAAATGGATACAGTACATGCTAACAAGTTCTTACCTATTAAAAATTGCTTGTAGGGCCTCCTCGAAACGGTGAAGGACTCTAGGAGGGGTTGGCCACTTCACATGCTTCCCGTAGTCTCTCATGGTCTTGATGCCATGGAAGCGTCTGGCCACCTCATGGATGTACGACTTCACTTTGTAGCGCCGATAGTATCTGATAATTGTCAGAGCTGCTTTGGTCCTCTTGTACCGCATCCGGGCCAGGGTGCCCCGCCACACCTTTACAATAAAAGAAAGACAAGAAAAACGTTGCTGACTGTCTGAGTAGTAGGTAATTTGAAGTCATAGACGCTCCTCTACTTAGAAACTCAAAGGGGGAACTTGGCATGTGTCAGCCAGAGCCAAGCCATGTCAATTCCGCCTGCCACCAACAGATGGCGCCAGGAGTCAGGTTGGTCATTTAGTTTCAGTTGTCTAGCAGCTCATTATCTACCCTGGGATGTGTGCAGAGTTTGAAGCCGAGTCCTGTTTTAACTTTATGGCCATGAAAAGAGAAAGCCAAAATACAAATATCTGTGGATAAATATTTTAGGAAAGTTGAAAGGAAACAAGATGAGTCAGAACCAAAAGCCATCAACATCTATAGTTCTCTTAATGAAACTTAGTTTTACATAGATTATATGCTTTGGCCACTAGTATACTATCACATCGGATTTACAAACTGATTTATATACATCCTGTGCAGCCCCTCTCCCAGGTGCTATGTAAACTCACGAGAATTTAAATGTATTACTGCAGAAAGGGTACAACAGATGACTAATACCATATGAATTTTTGTTAAAATTTTTTCAGTGCTCAGAAATTAATTACACAATACATAAATGTCTCAAGACCAGCTTTAGCCAAGCATGGAAAAGTCAGAGATATTTATATATTTTTCCAGGATTATTTCTCGTTTATTTCTCCAGGTTCCCATACTTTTTTTTTTTTTTTTTAGTTGAGCCATCCTGCCACCTTTTGGCAGCTCAGTGGCAGCTCAGCTCGGGTCGGGACTCGAACCACTGTTGCTCAGAGCTCGCACTCTTGAGCGAGCTCTTAACCAACTGAGCCACTCGGCTGGTCCCGTTCCCATACTTCTTAATCTCTCAAGTAAAAAGAAACTTGGTGTAATCTTCAATTCATCATTGGCTCTTCCCCTATATGTGCTCTCCACCACCAACCTAATTCTTTCTTCCACAACATTTCCAATATAAACCCTTTTCTTCTCCTTTCTGCTACTACAGTCTCTAACATCCCAAACTACCTAATTACTTTCTTCAACAGACTCCTTGTACACACTGCCATCATGCTCCAGTTGATATTTTACTGCTGCTCCTTAAATGACCGTTCCAATTCTTAGATTGATGGTATTACTTCCTCCCTGTGTCTGGCCTCTCAGGACCAAGATTTGCAATCTCTAATTCAAAGCCCACCATGAGTTCTCCAGATTCCCTCAGGTTTCTGTTATTTCTTCTTAAATCCCCACCTGTGCCCACCAGTTTGTCTCAGAAAAACTCATGCAACGCCTCTTTCATTCAGTCATCTTAGGTCTTCATGAAGACTCCGAAACTGGCACCATATGTTTGCAATGTTCTCCTTTTTCAGCCTGCTTCACAATATAGATAGATTTGTTTGCACGCTACACGTGATGAGGTCGTCAGAGGACCTCAAAGAGAACTAACAGGTCAGGGAAAACCATGAAAAACATAACATAGGAACAATTTGTGATGGGGACCTAGAGTTCACATATAAATGGAATATTTAAAGACAATGAGGCAATGAAAACTAACTCATCACTACATGTGGCATCAGTACAGAAACCCTTTTTAGTCAAAATGGCTCTCTTCCTTGTAGCCGAATCCATCATACAGATGGTTTTGTTACGCCTCCACCCAAGTGCTAAAATAAAGGTCCCTTCTTTAGTATCTTGAAAAACCAGAAGAATACAATTACAGGGTGGAAGTCTGTGATTCAATTTCTTAAAGAAAACACATTTTTAAAGTTTCATACTGTTCACTGCCTTTTTTTTAAAAAAGGAAATTAAGACTCCCTGGAGCCACATCTATATAGGAAATCAATCTTTAATTTTCAATGTGTTTTACAGATTTTTTTATTAAAATGTTTTTGGTTAGATTCTCCAGTAATTTGAAAAGAAAAAACATTTTATAAGTAAGTTTTTAAGGTATAGGGCTATATTTGACAACCTTTAAAATTTCATGTGTTCTTGGTTTATTTGGGTTTTAGATAGTTGAAAAATCAAATAGTAAAAAATGCTGCAGGTCGGCCGAGTGGTGCGTTGGTTAGGAGTTGGCTTGGGACGCCAGCTCTGAGCAGCAGGACCCCGGTTTGGATCCCACATTAGGGCCAGTGACGCTGCACCCTCTACAGCTAAGATAGTGAACAACAGCTCGACCTGGAGCTGGGCTGCCGTGAGTTGCAGGCGACGGCGTAGGCTGCAGTGAGGCTGCCTGGCAGCGGGCGTGAGCTTTCGTGAGCTGCCATGAGCCACCATGCACGGCCGTCCAATGGCTGGCAAGCAATTGCCTCACCGGGAAGAGCGCAACGATAATATCAACATGGGCCAGTGAAGCAACGTCCTCCACTACTAGACTGAAGAACAAAAGGACAGCAACTTGTCTGTTCCCCTTTCCCGATTCCCCAACGCTGTTCCCCTCCAATTCCCTAATAAAACAAAACCTTAAAAAAAGGCTGTATGAAAGATGGCAGCCCCTTCCCCCTGCCCACCTAACCCTACCTCCCCTGTCTTGCAGTCTTATATTCCACACAAACTATTTCAACTGCTTCTTCTAGCCTTTACAAATAATATACATATACTATTCTTTCTTGCTTGATCCTGTTAGGCACCATCCAAAGTACAGAAGTAGGTGATATAGCTCTCTCACCATTACTCTTACTTTTCCTTTATCATCCCAATAACAATTACATTTAAAATTTTAAAGTTGATAGTGTTTACATTGTTACATGTTACATTAACTATATTATATACTGCATAAATAACTTACATAACATATGCATATATACTATATTACATATAAATTTGGTTCATCACTCTGCTAAGGCATATATGACTACCCTTCCATTACTCTGTCATGTAAATGGTTTTTTGTTGTTTTTTTTTTTAAAGATTTTATTGGGGAATTGGGGGAGGGAATAGCATTGGGGCATCGAGGAAGGGGAACAGACAAGTTGCTGTCCTTTTGATCTTCAGTCTAGTTGTGGAGGACATTGCTTCACTGGCCCATGTTGGTATTATCATTGCGCTCTTCCCGGGTGAGGTAGATTGGTTGCCGGCCCCTGGATGGCCGCTCATGGCAGCTCACAACAGCTCAAACTGGCTGCCAGCCACTCACGGTAGCTCACGGCAGCCCACTGCAGCAGAGCCTGCAGCTTACGCCGTAGCTGGCGACTCATGGCAGCCCAACTCCAGGTTGAGCTGTTGTTCACCATCTTAGCTATAGAGGGTCCAGCATCACTGGCCCTAATGTGGGATCTGAACCAGGGCCCTGCTGTTCAGAACTGGTGTCTCAAGCCAACTCTTAACCAGGGCGCCACTTGGTCGGCCTTGTTTTTACTTATAGTTAATAATGATCTCATTTTAAAGGTCTGCTTTATTTTCTATATACGTACTGCTAATTTTTGCCAAATGCTCTAACATACCCATTGAATGATAAGCAATACTTTTTCGCCTGTCAAACACATTTACTGAATTTTTTTCTTTGATATTCCATGTCCTTATGTTTTTTAGTCCCACTGCACAATTCCTATGTTGGGACTTTTAAAATTACTCTTTCATGTTGGATCCCTGATTCCTGAGCTTATGTCTTTCTTTTTCTTGGTTTTCCTCCCTCCAGTAGGTTCCAAGAAACCGATGCATGGCCAGTAAATTTCCATTCTCTTTAATTTCCTTGAGAGTACAAAGCAGTTTCTTGGGGTAAATGTCACACTGAAAAGGACTGGCTCATTTCATTAAGGCAGCGGTTCTCAACCTTCCTAATGCCGCGACCCCTTAATACAGTTCCTCATGTTGTGGTGACCCCCAACCATAAAACTATTTTCGCTGCTACTCTATAACTGTAATTTTGCTACTGTTATGTATCGTAATGTAAATATCTTTTTGTTTTCCGATGGTCTTAGGTGACCCCTGTGAAAGGGTCGTTCGACCCCCAAAAGGGTCGTGACCCACAGGTTGAGAACTGCTACATTAAAGGGTTTCCAGGTCACACCTACATGTGACTAAGGCAAAAAATTTGCACAAACAAAAAAGAAAGTAGCGGTAAAGACAAAGATTTCAAATAGTCATAACGACCAATGCCTAAGAGCAGAGTAGCTGAGAACAGGTTCTGGACTCAGGCTGCCTGGGTACAAATCCTGGCACCACTTTTACCAGCAAATATTTTTTTTAAAAGATTTTATGGGGGATTGGGGGAGGGGAACAGACAAGTTGCTGTTGTTTTGTTCTTCAGTCTAGTTGTGGAGGATGTTGCTTCACTGGCCCAAGTTGGCACCATCATTGCGCCCTTCCCGAGCAAGGCAGATCAGTCACCGGCATCTGGACAGCCGCTCACGGCAGCTGCTGGCCGTTCACAATGGTTGCCAGCTACACACGGTAGCTTATGGCAACCCACTGCAGCAGGGGCTGCAGCCTATGCCATCGTCGGCGACCCACGGCAGCCCAGCCCCAGGTTGAGCTGCCATTCACCATCTTAGCTGAAGGGGGCAGTGTCACTGGCCCTCATACGTGGGATCCGAACCGGGGCCCTCTGGCATCCCAATCCAGCTCTTAACCAACGTGCCACTGGGCTGGCCCACCAGCAAGCTTCTTAACCCCACACACCTTAGTTGTCTTATCTATAAAATCAGGATGATAATGGGGCTTATTTTGTAGTGTTGTTCTGAGGATTAAAGAAGTTAAAATACATGAAACACTTAAAATAGTGCCTGTGGGTAGTTGGAACTCCATATGCATTGGTTGTTACAACTATTTGAAATCTTTGTCTTTAGGCTGTGATACTTTTTTTTTTTTTTTTGGTACATGCAGATTTTTTGCTTTAGTCACCCATCAGTGTGACATGGAAACTCTTTAATGAAGGTGAGCCATTCCTTCTCAGTGTGCCATTTACCCTAAATAGTGTTTGGTTGGGTATTATTCTCATGCTGATAACACGGACTGAACGCCCATGATTTATGTCACTTATCCAGTCTTTCAGCTGCCCAGAGGA